GGATTACTTTTAAAAATTAAGACTAAAGATCATTCAGGTAAAGCTTAGATTTATATAAGAAAAAATCAGTTGCAAAATCTTGTTTTAAAACTTTTGCTTCCAGACTTCCAGGAAGATGGTGGAATAATGAGCAGCAGAGAAACAGCCTCTCTCATATTTAGAATCCAGATGCTGGAATAGAGCAACATGAGGAAGCAAAAGAAGAGGGAAGTGGGTCCCAGGGATCTGAAGCAAGAATTAAAACCCACTTGGAGAGCAAAGAGAGGGACCACAATGCACAAGAGGGACTGGTGCTTTCTCCTGGAGCCCTAGCTTGTGGCATGGGAGGGGTGGCTCAAACCTGCAGAGAGAGGCACAGTAACTACTGGTGACCCCAGAAGCCTCCACAGAGAAATGCACCAGTGGAAAAGAGTGGTGCACACTGCAGACTGCAGTGGCTGGTGAGTTATTTGCCTTCAGATGCTGCCCCAGGAGAGGGTGAATGGCCAGGGGCGATTTTGGAAAGGGGCCAACTAAAGTCGGACTCAGGACAGCTGCAAGTTGGCTCCATCTAGTGGCTCCAAGGGTCAGGGTGAGGAGCAGCCGAGTTCAAATGGCAGGAGGCACTGGGGGTGTTGTGGGCTGAAAGACTCAGGTCTTAACCTCATAGCCAGCAACGAGAAGTAGCCTGAACTTTGGTGGAACTAAAGGCCCAGGTTTTCTGGAATTATCCACCACTGTCATTCTTCTACTGCTAGCTTGCTAGGATCAAGCCACACAGATCTGGGCTTTGTTTGCCCTCTCTGTCAACCAGTGACAGCAGAGATGTGTCCTGAAGTGGTCATTTTCTTTTTCTTTTTCTTCTTTTACTTTTTCATTATTTTTTAATTTTTGTGCTGTTTTTTCCTCTTCTTTTTGTTTGTTCTTGTTTTTGTACGAGTAGGAACACTGTTTCTAGATTTTTCTGTTGTTTTGTTCTGTTCTTGTTTCTGTTTCCTCCTTCTTTTTCTCTTGTCTACTTCATCAGCTTCCAAAGCTAACATAATCTCCCTTTGTCCTTCAGCCTTGCTTCTAACCCCTACTATCTATTCTTCTATTTCTCTTTTTCCCCTCCTAAACCCTTTTAAATTAAAATCACTACACTGGGATATTTACTGTACACAATTTACTAGTTTTAGATTTTGTTATATAACTATACATTCTGTTCATATGGTTAAAGGTGGCAAATTAATACCACAGTTTGTCATTTTCTAGGGTGTGTTTGATTCTACTGTTAGGTTGTACTACTTTAGGCAAGGTAACATAATTATGCTACTCAGTTGTTCTTCCTTAAATTTCAAGACTGAGGTGGCCTGAGGGTCATATCAATAGTGTCAAAAAACCAAGGGCTAAGCCAAACAGGCTGCAATTTCTCATTCTCAATAAACTGAAGAGGTAAAACCTTGCAACAGACTCAAAACCCTAAAGCCAGCTATACCTAGAAGACATCTCTGGGTAGTCATTTTCTTCTTGTAGGGTTCTCAATACTGGCAACAAAGATATCCCCATGAATAATTTACAAGCATCAATGCAGGAATTAAACTAATAAAAAAATAGAAACTGAAAAAGAAGGAGGGGATGAAATATAATTCAAAACTGAGGCAAAAAGATCATCTTTGCATAAGAACAATTTGCTACTGAGACTCCTTAGAGTCTTCAATACAGATTAAGGTAGGCAGTGGGACAATAATGGAGTCCCCTTTTTATTTTTTGTTTTCTCTGTACTTTAGGAAGGCAATTGAGTTTTTGCACCAGGGTGTAGTTCAATGGTACAGCCCTTGCTCAGGATGTGTAAGACCCTGGGTTTGATCCCCAGCATTACAAAGGCAGAAGACAAATAACAAAAACTCTACTGCTAAATGTGAAAGAGAAGGGTAAAAAAGTAGAAGGAAAAAAGTGGAAAATAATTGTTAAAAATAGTAAGGAAATTAGGAAAATATAGTACGATATCTGCACACTATTCAGGGCCTATTTGGACTAGTTTACTATTAATTTATGATTATGAATTTGCTCTATTGAAATTTTTCTTCAGCGCTACTTGCTACTTAGATGCAAATACAGTACAGAGAAAGAGGTTATCTAGCTTCACCCATTGTTGGGAATTCATTTTATTTGCAAGAGGTCAAAAATTAGCATATAGGTTAGGAATTCAGCCAGGCATGGTGGTACATGCCTGTAATTCCAGCACTTGAAAGGCTGAGGCAGGAGGATCACCATGAATCTGAGCTCAGCCTGGGCTACATAGTGAGTTCAAGCCAGTTTGAACAACATTCCAAGATCCTATCTCAAAACACTAAAAAAAAAAAAAAAAAAAAAAAGGAATTACTTAAAAAATGAATTGTAACAAAGATAAAGAATAATGTCTAAGACATTAGGATAATGCCAGAACAATACCAAGCAATAAAAAGATAACTAACATTATTACTAAACATAGTCCTCTAGCAGTAAATGGTTTCACTATTCTGATGTATAATCATTTGCATATATCTATAATCACAGGCATATTGTTTACCAGATTTAGTTTTTTGAGGACAAATAGTGCTCCTGTTTATCTTTGCCTCTTTCAAGGCCTACCCCAGTAGCTATCATATTCTACATGACTGAATGGATGCATGAAATCCCCTTCTTCTAAATTATCCATTTAATTTTGAAAGATTCTAACTAGGGCATCACTACCTCTACATCTATTCAGAAAAAGACATTTATAAGAAAAGCACCTAAGGACCACTATCAATTCAGTAACGGAAACTTACTAAACAAATAACAATATGACTGATGGAAGCTTTCCAGTACCACAGGCCATCGAATTAGCACAAGGAAGAAAATAAGTTAATATATGAAAAAAGCTGAGAGTATGTTTTCTCATTTTTAAAGGACAGAAGCATAGATCCCCCAAATGTTGTATCATTTTTGGGGGTAGGGTGATGCTGGAGATAGTCCAGGGCCTTGTACATGTTAGACAAATGCTCCACCACTAAGCTAGATCTCCAGCTCTTTTCTATTTTATTTTCAGATATAGTCTTGCTAAATTGCACAGTCTGCATTTAAACTTGTGATCCTTCTTCTTTAGCCTTATGAGAAGTTAGGATTACATGCACAACCAAATAATGGATCTTCCCTGGTTTATTGGAAACCATCTTTTTTTGGTCGTAGAGTCAGTCTGAAAAACATAAGATTTGATTTTTTTTTCCTTTTTGGTATATGTGTGGTGCTGCGGATTGAGCCCAGGGACTCGCACAGACTAGGGACATATTCTACCACTTAGCTATACCTTCAGCCTAGGATTTAATTTTGCTTCTGCTTAAGCTAATACAATGCACATTTGCTAGTATATATCTCCCATATACATAAACCGATCAACCCCTTGCCTAAAAATCTGAACTCCAAAATGCTCTAAAGTCTGAAATAGTTCTGGATGCAAGCATTTCAGATAAGGGATGTCCAAATTGTAGTTATCAGCTCTGGTCTAGTGACAGACATATACAAGACAGACATATACAAGAGAATAACAACTTTTTAAGTACAAGCTATGTTAAAAATAGCCTTTAGTAAAAACTGCTTGCAATTGAGAATACACATTGTTGGGACTTATATGTCCTTCTAAGTTTGAAACATTACATAATACCTAATAAGTAAGCATCTACATCTCTAGTTCAAGAACTTTGTGGGAAAAGGTACAAAGATTTCTCATCTGGATAGCAAAACAATTCCCCATCTCTTGCTATTTTAACCTGTATTCAAATCAGCAGAAGTCACAGCAGGACAGATGATTGGAAAGGGGGATTTCAGGCAATAAAATGGAAGGAAAATGTCTTGTAATAAAATACTTTTTAGTACAGTTTGACATCCACTAATATTCTTGTATTTTCCTGAAAGTCCCAGGAAATATCCTGCTTATACTTTGAAGGAATGAACTTATAGTTTCCCAACAGAGCTGATCTTTTTACCAGGGCCTATGGAGAAAAAAAAATGCCTACTTGAGCTGCATCCCATTCTCAACTGATGATTACTAAATCAAGCAATTCAATGACAGCAATGTGCTTATTGGATAGTTATTAATACACTTCAGAGGGGTGGGCTGAAAATACAAGAGAAAGACATAGTAATCCACTGTTTTGGTTCTTGAGAAATTAGCCAAGAATGAAATGGGACACGAAATGTTAAAACAGTTTTCTTCTCCTTTACCCCATTCTCTTTACTTCAGTGAAAGTTAAAAATAAATGCAGGATAGGGAAAGACCATGGTGAGGTTCAGGTACACAGACTGTAATCTAAAATCTACCTGCATTTCAGAGTAATATCCAAAGTGGAGACATTGTCATATAACCACTGACATATTGCTTTTCCTGTAAACGTTTCAAAATCATCAAACATTAACGCAAAATTTTATCTATTGATGCTATAAAATTTTTAAGATCTAAAACTTTTAAAACTACAAAATAACCACAGACTTAGTGACCAAAATTCTTGTTAATAAAGAATTCAGCTTACTTATGAGATACACTACTTTTAATAAAAATATACTTTTTTGGAAAATAAAGGTAAAACTTAAAAGATAAAAACTATGGTGAAATCTTAGCCTTTCTCTGATGATTTTGCCTAGAAGACAACTGAAGATTCTGCCTACTTTCAATATTTGACTGATTCACATGAATTAAATCTCAAGAAATAGTTCAAAAGCAATTTCTCAGTTTAAGAGTTTCTATCCCTCATCTCATACAGTGTATCAATCTTAACCACTCTTCAGCAAATATTTGCTATGGCTAAGGAATAAAACTATTTTATTATGATTTAGCTTTAAACACTTTCTTACACTAAAATCTGAGATTCTAAATTGTCTGAAACAGAAGTTACTCAAACAATACTGATATAAAATAGCCTCGCTATCTTTGATAGGCTGAATCCTGTATATCTTTCACCGAGCTCATGAGTTGTTTTGCTTTTAATGAAATAAAGTTACCAGAGATATTGAAACTGTATTACCTTAATAACGTTAACTAAATCTGTTTGATAGTAGCGATCCTGATGTGCATTTGCTGCTGCTAGAGTAAGAAGGTAATCATTCCTTGCATGAGTAGCCTTGGAATTACACTCAGATCGCCGGGCTTTTAACTAAAACATAGTAAAAGAAAAATAAAGTAATATCATGCTGCAAAAGACAGAAGACTACCCCTAGTTGGCAGTTAGTGGCTCCCCACCAAGAGTAATGATAGAACTATGTGGAAAAAGCATTTATATGCATATAAAATTATCCATCACTATAAAGGAATGAAACAGACTAGATTCAAATATTTGTTATTTATTCTTGAGTGGTGTAAATAACTTATACTTGGGCAGTTATTAATGTGCTTTCAAAGCTTTCTAGAAACTTCAAAATGTTATGTTCATTTTACTGTTTTTACTTAAAAAATTAAGTGTCTCAGCATTGAGGACATGGGCAACCCTAATAGAGTTAGAAAATAGTTTGTAAAAAATAAATCTCCCAATCTGCCAGAAAAACTTGCCATTGCCAGGGAACCTGGCAGCAAAACCAAGTCACTTAGTTCATTTATCCAATATTCCACAACTTGAAAGTTCAACAGGAAAAGTAACTTTCACGAGCCCAGCAGACCTGCTGAGGAGTCTAAATCTGGATGAAATGACCCTGTACAGCTTCCTAATGCCCCCACAATGTGTCTCTTGGACTAAAGAGTTAAAGACACAGGCTACCTGAACACGTATGGCAGGGAAACCTATCATTAAAGCAAGCTGTACTCAAAATTTTAACACCTGGGTTAAAAACAAAAAAAAATGAAGGAGAAGAAGAGTTTCTTCCAAAGTTAATAACTTTAAAAGCTACTCTAAGGTAGACATAACCGACCTACACCCTTGAAGGATCTAATTCTTTGTTTTACAAGCTAAGAGATTTCTCTATTAATACACCTTTCAAAAACTCACCTTTACGCTTGCTTTCTGTAGACTGATTCTTGATTGAAAAAGACTAAGTTTAGACCTACAATAAAATAAAATATTTAGTAAGATTTATAAATTATATATACCACAGTAAAATTACTAAATATTTTAATGACTCTTTTTCAAGACACTGTTTTAAAACAAACTGAAAATTGGAAAACCAAGAGCAATGCTTATTTGCCACTACTTTATGACAGGAAGAACTTAACATTATGGCAAAGTAAATATTACTGGGATTCACATAATAAAAAATATCCTCAATAATAAAGAAATATAACTTGACAAACAAAAAATTAAAATTCATTGATACCCCAATATCCAAGAGTCATCAAACTGAAGTTTATTCCCAGTATTATAAAATTTCACATATTTTAGTTCTTATAACGTTACTTATCTGATAGCCTGTAATAACACCAAAACACGCCAGGCGTAGTGATGCACACCTGTAATCCCAGCACTCAGGAGGCTGAAGCAGAAGTGCTATGAGTTTGAAGCCGGCCTGAACTACATAGCAAGACCTCATCTCAAAAAAAGTCCTCCAAACAAAAAACAAAACAAAACCAAAACAACAACAATGAAAACCCCACACCAGAACATCCAGCCTCTAGGAAGTCCTTATTCCTGTTCCCTCCACTGAAAGTTCTTTGTGTCTGGGCACTTGCCTGTGTGCCCTGTGTACTCATAAAGGTATTCTGAACCCACTGAAAAGGCCTTTGGACTCAACTCTGATTTTATTTTTTCATCTTCTGCTCTGGTATTATCTCCCTGATCCCCTTAATCAAACAGGAGTAGTAAAAAAAATGTTTACTCAAACAATTAAAAATAACTATGCAGACAAAGTCAACAAACAGATGCTAAGGAACAAGCAATACTTCCATGATCGGTGATTTTTCTGAAGCTGCAACGTTTGTCTTAATTGCAGTGTCATGGTGATTGCCATGGGACAATTAAATTCATGTGCAGGTAGCTATGCCTTAATATGAAGTACAGTTGCAGACTATTTGGAAATGGAAGGTGGGGTAGCGAATCTCTGCACAGCCAATGTGAAGAGGATAGCAAACCAACCTCTTATCCTGCTAACAGGAGAGAAAACATTCTGGGATGTATATACATGCATTCCAACTCTTTCCTACTGTTAAAAAAAATGGTTCTAAGATATTTCTGTTATTTACCGCCTTGCTATAATCATATTTCATGAGGCTTTTTATTATTCAAATTTCTATTCATCTTGATCTAGAAAACCAAAGGCCACATACTTTATAATTTGAGAATGCCTGTTCAGGGTAAGACAGAATGTGCTTGAGATATTACCAGCTTTCCTTTTAATATAGTCATTATCCAAGTAATCTGAGTTGAATCTAGATCTTCCAATACAAGGTTTTAAGCTTCTGGCTTCTGCCTCACTTGCTCATCTTCATATATTTCTCTTGTGGTATTAAGTAGGTATTAATGACAGAGTAAGAGAGTAACTGTCCTTAAAGACTAAACTCTAGAAAAAAAAAAGATAGGACTTTTGTAAATCATGCACTACATGAATAATGAACTATATTGTGTACTACTTTTTAACATCTACACTTCAAATATTAATGGTCCCTGGATTTTCAATTCAACATCACATCTCATTATATATATGACTGCATGTCTGTAATGACAAGCTGATGGGCAAATGACCCCTAAAGTGAGATGCTCAGACCTAAATTCTTATGTAATAGCAGATACCTGACTACCTAGAAAACAAAACCATGCTGTTCTCTCCCAGGCTCTTCAGAACCTATACATAAAAAATAAAACTTAGCATCTCTCTCAAATGATATTCCTCTCCCTCCTGTGGTTTCTCCTATTGTGCTTTTCTCTCTGTTATGGTTTATGTCTGAATGGCCCCCAATGCCTCATGCACTTTTAGATGGGGCTTTTTTGGAGGTAGCTGAATCTAGAGTTTGTGACTGATTTATAGTACAGTGCTGTGATTAATGGTGCTGGGATTAAGGCTGGGTGATTGCTAGGTGATCATTCCTGACTGGATTGGCACCACCCTAATCCCAGCAGTCTGAATAAGATAAAAGGGGCAGAAAGAGGCTTGTTTCCCCCTTTTTGCCCTTGCTTGTTGCTTTAGCTGTCTTCTGCCACCATGAACTATTGCCCCTCTGACATGTGCCAACCTGCCTTGGAGCCAGCCAATTATGGACTGAAACCTCTACAAAATGTAAGCTAAATAAACCTTCCCCTCTTTAACTTTGGGTATCAAGTATTTTGTCTTAGCAACAACAAAAGTAACTAAGACATTCTCCATCAATCAAGACTACATACCAGAGGATCAATGGAACAGACTGTTAAGAAACAGGCACAGCCACAAACACACTCAGCCACCTAATCTTTGACAAAGAGGCCAAACAAACTCACTGGAATAAAGATAGCCTCTTTAATAAATGATGCTAGAAAAATTGGCTTGCCACCTGCCAAGGACTGAAAATAGATCCAAGTCTATCACCATGCACCAAACTAAAGTCAAAATGGATCACAGATCTCCATATTAAAACAGAAACACTAAATCTATTGGAAGAGAAAGTAGGTAAAAATCTTGAAGACATAGGGGTAGGCAGTGTTCATGAACAAAAACCAAACCACATGTGAAATACTTCAAAGAATCAACAACTGGGATCTCATCCTACTGAAAAGTTTCTGCACATCTAAAGAAATCACCAGCAGAGTAAAAAGAAAACCCACAAATTGGGAAAAAATTTTAGCTGATTGTTCCTTGGACAAAGGTCTTCTATCTAGAACATATAAAGAATTAAAAAATTTCAGCCCCTCCAAATTCAAAGACCCACTCCAAAAATGGGCATCTGAGATGAACATACACTTCTCAGATAAAGAAATACAAACGGCAAATAAATACATGGGAAAATGTTCAACATCAGTAGTCATTCAAGAAATGCAAATTAAAACAACACCGAGATTTCATCTCACCCCAGTAATAATAGCTATCATTAAGAAATCAACCAATAACAAATGCTGGCAAGGCTGTGGAGAAATAGGAACCCTTCTCCACTGCTGGTGGGAATGCAGACTGGTGAAACTACTGTGGAAATCAGTTTGGAGATTCCTTAGCAAACTAGGTCTAGAGGTTCCATTCAACCCAGCTATTCCCCTTCAGAGTATTTTCCCAGAATGTCTGAAAGCATCATATCACAGTGATATATATGCACCCATGTTTATAGCAGTGCAATTTGTAATTGCTAAATTGCGGAAGCAACCCAAATGTCCATCCACTGAGGAATGGATAAAAAAATTGTGGTACTTTTATATAATAGAATATTACTCAGGTATAAAGAAAGATAAACTCAAGCCTTTTACAGGTAAATGGTCACAACTACAGAACATACTCATAAGTGAAATAAACCAGACCTCCATGTGTAAGCAATGTATTGTCTCACTAGTGTAAGAACCTGAAAGAGTGAATAAAAATTAGGATGTATGACAGACATTGTGAAACAAAAGGAAAATGCTCAAAGGTAAAGAGCAACTGAGGTGAGGGAACAGAGAAAAGAAAGAAGGGGAAATTATGTATATATGTATATACAGGATAACTGACATAATCGTACTACTGACTTCTATTGCTTTACTGAAAGGAACAGTTACTGATTAATTATTTGATCAATCTTTGTTTTTTTTTTTTTTTTTTTTTTTGGTTTTTCTCCGGTACCGGGAACCGAACTCACGACCTTGCGCTTTCCAGGCAGGCGCTTTGCCGGTGAGCTAAATCCCCAGCCCCTATTTGATCAATCTTACATGGCTCTGTTTTCCTAAGAAACCACTTTGAAAATATCAATATGTAATACAACAACCATTGTTAATTTCCTACCACTTTGTCTGTAACTCTGTATTGCGTGCATTGTTCTTATGCTGTTTTATAAATGGATGACTGTTTGTTAATATGTTTTCCTTCTTTTATTCTTAAACTAAAAAAAAAAAAGAATACATGTAACCCCATTTTCAGGCCACCTTCTAGATCTTCCTGTCTCTACTTAGAAAAATCAGTCGTATTTGGAGACTCTACCTAATTTTACTTCTATAAAGGATTCCCTTATCATTAAGTAAAATGAATCTCTCCATTTTCTGTGGTTTTGTAACTGTTTTCATATTATTACTATAAACAGTGACTACCAGAGTGAGTTTACTGTGAATAAACACAAAATAAAGTTACTTTTAAACATATTACCTAACTCCGGGTTCCAAACTCCTTGAAGGCACAAAGTTTACCCTACTTATCTCTGTATCCATAGTACCCAATATAATTACTCAACAAACATTTAGTGAAGGAGTTAAGATATACAAGCATTTCTTACTCTATAGTTGAACTAACTTTCCAGAGAAGTGAAACATTGAAGTAAAATGTCTCACTATCAATCTGGGCCATATTAGAAAGCTGTTCTGTGTGATCAGCTTGGTAAATTAGATGCTGTCAAATCTATACATGAACAGCACACCACTGTCCTCATTTTCACCCTGTGGGCTATGGCTGAATAGGTATTTAAACATGGTCTATAAATCTGTCAAATCTCTATTCTAAAATCCCTGCATTTAAAATTATAATGGTAGCATCTCCCAGTGGAGAGCTCTTAATCTAAAAATTTCAGATCTTATTTGGAAGATAGGATCAATTGCTCTATGAAAGTACAAAACTATCTGTTTATTCAAAAAATAAAACAATAAAAAATAAAATTAGAAAAATTCCCAATAACATCAAGAATTTCATTTACCATCCCTTCATTTAAAATAAATTTTTCAGGAGGCCCTGAATTTTCACAAGGTATGTATGAAATTGCCTATATTTCAGGCAAGTAAAAAAAACGTATTAGAAGGACCCTCAAACACACATGTGGACTGTTTGGGCACACAAGCATTCTGATTTCAAGCCTAGGAGTTCAGCCTAGACTTTTGCATCAGTCAAAAAAATGAACAGAAGTCTCAGTTCTCCTGTTCATAGATCTCTTCAGGTTATAGTTCCATAACACAGGTTTCTTTTATTCTCACTTTCTATCATTTCAATCAAGTTGTTAAAAAATCTTAAAAAATCTCCATCACTTGCATATATCTCTTATCCCCAATTGCCAGCTCCTTCTTTTCTTCATTATTCTCAAAATAAAGGATTGTAATTCCTATATATTGAAATTGAAATGGACACAATCTCTGAAGCATGTGTGTGTGTGTGTGTGTGTGTGTACCTACCTGCATGTGGTGCACATCTATAATCCCAGTATTCTGGGAAGCTGCGGTAGAAGGATTGAAAGCTCAAGCCCAGCCTGGGCAATTTAGCATAGTCCTATCTTTAAAATAAAAAAGATAAATAAAATGGCTTGGGATGTAGTTCAGTGCTAAGGCCTTGGCTTCAATCCCTAGTATCATACATAAATGAAAGAATGAATGAATGAGCTAGACTTTCATATAAAGTGCTGGGGACAGGATTTCTATAAGAAAATCAACACTCGAATTCACTTAATATATCCATGGTCCTTCAGCAGAATCCTGAGGTCACAGGGATTTCCAACTATAATTGATTTAGAGTCTAGAATGATTAAAATTAGGTTTTTAAATCCTGATCATCAGACAACATACCAACTTTAACTAGACTTTGGGTAAGCTTTTGAGTCTGTAATTACAATAATCATTTATCTTCTACAGTGGTACACTGGTTTATAAGCTTAATTTGTTTTATGATTCTGAGGAAGATAACTGAATTTGTGTTTGTGTGGGGAAGATGGCAGTGATCATATCTGTGCAGAGTTCGTGAACCAAATTGTTTGCAAACAGAAGCATTTGTGAACTGAGGTATTACTGTATTTCAAAATTCAATGTACTGATGAAATATTAACATTTTGCTACATTAATATATAAAAGGCCAACATAAAAGAAAGTATCATCTAAGTATATAACCTATGTAGGTCAAACATACAACCTAAGATACCAACACAACCTAAGAACAAGACTATGCCCTGTACAGATGGAGAACAAAGCATAAGCAAAGATAACATTTATTTGTACAGTCATTTTCTCAGAAATGCTAAAATACTTACTTTGCCTCAATGTCAGCTTTCTCTCGTACTGCATGAGCCATCTGTTCAGTCTCAAAGTACTTCTTCTTGCCTTTAGCTAAATCTTTCACTGTCTCTTGTAGCTCAGTTTGGATCTTTGTTAACTGGTCCACACACTGTAAAATACAAAGGTGCAATTATAATTTTAGTTTTCCAACTTAAAGAAAATGACTGTGTCTAAGGGACCATGCAACATGCCTTTAGGACAGAAACCCAAAGAGGAATCAGCATTTTTACTGTCCTTTGAATTGCAAAGTGAAATCTGGGTGAACAGCTGAAACTTCCATCTGAAGTACTGCATCAAATACTGTCACAGTCTGCTTAACAACCAGGCTTTGAGAAATAACTACTGCTGATGACTGGAGCAACCTTAAAGATTCATAGTATTGTAAATACCACGGCAATAAAGGCAAAAGAGTAAATAATTCTGTATTTCTCCATCATCTTAAAGTCTGTAGTACAAATACTAGGATAAAAGGAGTAAGAAATGAAGGAGTCTTCCAAGGTAAGGGAGTCACATATAATTTTCCGTAAACCTTTTTAAATATTAAACTTCAAGTATTTTTAAAAGATTATATAGAATTTCATATTAGAAGGTAATATACTCAAGTTTCTGCTACACTATTTTCTCCCCAAATCCCTTTAACATTCTTTGGCCTCAGATCCATCATTCATAAAATAATAATACTTACATAGCTATCAAAGGTGTTCTGCAAATCAAATGAGACTATAATGGTTATGGTAACAGTTTGTGAACTCTAAAATGTTATACAAACGTGAGTCATAACCCCCATTGCCCCATTTGTACGTGTGTGTGCTGCTACAAATCAGACTCTTCCAACTTGAAATCACTGATCACTAGTCACAGTTTATTCACCATGTTTAAACCAAATGATATTAGATAAATGTTACATACATTAAAATTTTATATATATACATATACATTTAGCATATTAATTTCATGATACTTCAATCATATTTGGCAAACAAGGAAGATAATTTAAAAATTTTTTTTTCCCTAAAATCCAATGACAGAATAAAGCTGAATGCTTTCTGACATATTATTTCCTTAAGTAATTAATATTTACAAAGTATTATTATTTCTACTTTAAAAACCTTCATTATGATGTTTTCCATTTTTATTATATAGAAAAGTGATTTCTAAGTGTTTACTGAGCTTTATCAATTTCTATAGATTCAAGTTACAAGTAAAGGGAGCACACTGAGAAATTCTAGTAAAATAACATCTAATAAACATTTGTGATCGTATGTTTTAAAAGCTCAAAGTTTTAAATTCAGTGTAGCTAATCTTACACATTACAATTGTAGCACTGAGATAATAAAATACATGTAATAAAAGAACAGAAATAGAAACAATACCCTTTTTAGTTGTTGTTCTTTTAAGCTTTTCACTGCCCTTGCAGGCTCGGAAATGAAGTTTTTATAGTTCTCACATATATTGATCCGAGACTGGGCCACCTGCATTGTTCCCTCGAGAAAAGATTTCCAAACAGGATACATACTCCTAAATTTTAAGAGGGATGGAAAAGTATTAGGCAGGGAAAAGGAAGAAACTGGCTAACCTTTTGTTTACCATCTAGTATTGAGAGAACAAGTATTTTACATTTTAGCATACACAAAAACATAGCATATGCCCTATTTCTCTATAGTGCAGTAATAGTGAATTTTGATTCATTGGCTATTCTTAATAATGGTGTAAAGGGATACAAGGATTACAAATGGAGACAAAGCTAATGCTATAAAAACTCCAAAACTTTAACTGTCACAGGATCATCATTGTGAATATCAAATTTTATTCATTAAGGTATTTTCTTAATTATAGGTGGAATAAGGGAGGTTCACAGAGATTTACAAAACAATTAGGTCACACAAGAATATAGCAGTACTGAGATAAAGATGAAGGCTGAAAATATCTAAAGTATATCCTCTTTCAGCTACATTGTCTTACTACATGAACTGATGTGGCTGGAAAAAAATCTATCATGAACAATAGTTTATGTGCTTGAGAAATCTAACTTGTCTAACAACATCATCATCATCATCATCCATTGTACTGTCGCTTTACATCTGTCTCTCTTCGCAGATACTTAGCCAGCATCATACCGTGCTCAGGAGTCATTCCAAGCAAGACCCACAACCACCCTGCAATGATAAATACGCTCAGCAATCTCTTTAGTAAAGTCCAAGAATTATGCACTCTTTGCTTTTTCAAGCCAACTTCCTTTTTAAACCTTCTCTCCTAATTGCCTTAGCCAATTCTAATATGCTCCTCTAGTAGTTATAAATACATTTTATAACTTATCGTAACAATGAATGGTACTATATTTGTTTTTCTAGATGAGACAGTGAATTTTGATGCATTATAATATTCATTTCCTGAGATTTCCCTTCTGGTGTTCATATGGACTTTCTAGTATAACAACATATGAGACCATATGTTACAAAAAATGCTAGCTGTGGGTCAACAGATAACAGATGACAGAGTGAAAGCAAGAGAAGAAAAACTGCCTGGGTCCCTATCGTAGTTAGAATTTTAAAAACTTGAAAAACTATACTTTTCAACCAGGGAGTCTTACAAACTAGTCTCTGTAATGGGGTAAATCAACCAGTTTAGACATAAATATTAGTTTATTTAGGCAGAGATACATATTATCTCTTTGAAAAATTCACTATGTTACAGGAGCAAAAGTCCATGTTAAGAACTGTAGCAGAGGCACCCAGTGGCTGGGGAACAAGCACAAAAGAAGGACAGATGGACAGAGATGAGCAGAGGAAGGTAATGTGAAACCAGGTTTCTTCACAGTTTTGAATATCATAAAAAGAAATTAAATTTCATCCTAGTGGGAAAGAGAAACATGGGAAGACTTTCAAGCAGGGGAGTGGCAACAGACCTATATTACAAAGACATAAAGATAACTACGATAAAAGGTGAAGACAGTTTGTTACACTGTAACAAATGGAATTGTGAAAAAGAAAGATAACAAGCAGAGGACTTGAGGCTTATTCCTGATACAAGAAGGGGAGATCTAGAAAGCTGAAGATGCAGAGATGATTTATAATAAAGAATGTCTAGTATGTGTAGAAATTCTAAGCACAGAAGGCCGAAGAACTCATTTCTGATGGGTGATTTAAGAAGCCAAAAAAAGTCATCAACGGCTGGGCGTGGTGATGCACTCCTGCAATCCCAGCACTTGGGAGGCTGAGGCAGGAGGATCATCACGAGTTCGAGACCAGCCTGGGCTACAAAATGAGCTCAAGTCCAGCCTGAACTACATAGCTACACCCTGTCTCAAAACAAAAGACAAAACAAAGAACCCCAAAAACCTGACAAATTAGCTTAAAGTCCTCTATCTTCAATTTCTTAAATATCTCTTTTTTTTTGTTTTGTTTTGTTTTTTGTTTTTCTCCGGTACCGGGAACCGAACTCACGACCTTGCGCTTGCCAGGCAGGCGCTTTGCCGCTGAGCTAAATCCCCAGCCCCCTTAAATATCTCTTTTATCTCCCCTAAACCTCATTTTCTCTATAATTTTGATAGTTCAAATAAAAGATGATGAGAGACTAAATTCCTAAAATTTTATCCTTCTTGAATTCTTCACACCTTCATGCTATGATTAGGGGAAGTTGATGTTATCATTCACCTTGGAAATTCTTCAGTAATGGATTAATCCATTATCTTCCAAATACAAATATAAATTCTATAATATGATGTGCAAAGTCTTTTATGATGCTTGTCTATGTATTCTCTACATTTACGACTCTACTTACCCTCCAACCCACATACTTTATACCAGCCATACCGAAGTGCTCACCATTACTTAATATTCGTATTTTATCATGCTCCATGCCTTTAAGATGTTAATTCTGCTTAAAGTTCCTTTTCCCAAGCTAGCTGCCTGGCAAACTCTTGTATATTCCTTAAGAAAGACTAAGATCTACAAACCTAGGTTTTCTGCTGTGGTCTGAATACACTTTTAATACTACTGATATTGCAATTATTTATAGAGGCTATCTCCTAATGGTCCTGGAAGGCAGCCACAGTATCTTTGCGTGTCTCTACCCTCTAACATCTACTTTAATAGGTCATGAGTACTGGGTATTTCAAAGGTAAATCATGAATTAAGAAAGAATGAGCATTTAAATAGTCTGTGTGACACTGAGTAAGGAATATAACCCAAGACTTGGCATCCTATCATACAAAATGAGGATAATCCTACAGGGTCTCATAATCATGGGATATAAGTGAAAGTTCCTAGCACAGTAAATATTTGGTAAATGTTAGATTAAATGCTTTTTAGAATTAGGTTGCATAAACTAGCCTGGAAGCATAGTCTTTTTATTCTTCTTTCTTTGGTGACTTGAATTGTGAATTTGAAACAAATATGGAATATAGCTTACCCATAAACTGGAGTTCTTTATTCTCTAATAAGCAATCTCTTTCTTGGTCAGGATGACTTCCTCAGAACAGCAATAATAAGCACACTCTCTCTCACCTCAAGTTTGTGTTCTACATTTCTCTTGCCTAAAATTTTATCTCCTCTCTCCCCACTTAACTGAAATTTGTAGATACAAGATAATCTCTATTTTTATTTTCTGTTCTATTTCTATATTCTAAATCGAAATTATATCACTCAAGTATTTATAGCTATCATGTCACCTTCAAGTACAGTTTGCCACTGTGAGGAACTATTAGGGTTTCTTCCTTCAGTTTTCTAGCAGCATTGTCACAGTCTTAAGAAATTCTCTGACAATGTCTGAGATAATCCAGCAGTTTGATTTCATAGTCAGACTCCAAACCATACACTTCAATACTGAGTTCCTAATTATCCTGCACTTTCCATTGTTATTTTATAGGTATTAGTCTTAATTCCAACCAGACTGCAAACTTCTGGGTCCCCTAACATGAAGGACAGCTCTCAGCACAAAAGACAATAAATGCTTCCAAATTGCAAAAAATACTTTCCATTGTAAACAAAATTACAAACACTTCTAAAATATTTATAGGTCACTGAGGACACAACTTATATTTTACTGTCGTCTACCTTCTTCAAAATTTGTATAAGAGATATAAGTAGCTAACTTCTGGACAACCTGTCTATATACACATATATGTTTCTAAAATAAGTATGGTACTATAAAGGAAGCTCTTTTCATTAAGATCCATTACTTAGAAACTTTTTCCTGAGTCTTAAAAATCTCAGCTTTCCAAACCTAGAATTTATTTCAGAAGTAAAGAATTACTGATCACGATAGTACACTATAATCTTATTTCACTATTGTTGCAATAATGTATTTCATCATTGGTTACTGAGAAAAATGTTTCATTGATAGCCACCATCTTTAAAATCCATACATATTAACTAAATGATATACAACCTGGCTTGAAATATACGGAAATGGCATAATTCACAGAGTATGTATATATGTTATGGAACATAAAAATTGTTCATAATTTTGAGATTATGTTTAAAAACACACAGCAGAGGAAAGAAATAATTCTTTTAAAAACTAGAGTGTTACATTCTCTATGTGAGACAGCTCTTAATGGAGCCTTTTTAAAAGAAAATAAACAAAAGAACCACTTGGTAAATTACCTGTAATCATTCCGATCATCAGCTTTTATTCCAGGCCAATCTCTCTTCAGGTATTGGCTAGCCAACTTCTGGATACCCTGTTAAAAATATTTTTTTTTTCTAAAATAAGTACGATGCCAAGCTTTTTATCTTAAAATACATTATTTTTAAAATCCCATTTTTCCAATTGTAAATTTAACTCAGAAGTAAAGAACAAATGGCAGAACACAAAAACCATTTCTCATTATTGCCCAGTTCTCTTCTGTCTCCACTTTCAGGAAAAAGATGAGTACAGGATAAGAAAATTGAAACTACGGTGATATGCACTTCACCTCACTGAACTCTGTGATTATTCATCACCTGGTATGCTACAGAAAAGAGAGATGTCTGTGTCCATAGAGCTCTGACTGCACAGTCTGACATCTCAGAACCCCACTGCACCTTAGCTCAGGTGGAAAACAGCAACTAAACTCTCATATGACCAGGAGAGGAAAAAATGCATTCAATTTGGAACAAAGACATATATACTGGCTTATAAAATTAATGAATAAACTTTGGTACTATTCTGTTATAGTAATCTTCAAAAGGCAGATTTTAAGAGTCTTTTTAAAAAAATACCATGTCACAAGTAAAATTAAAGAAGTTAGTGTTACCAACAAATATACCCACCCATTTGCTATCATCCATACAATGTGAATCTGGGGAAAAAATTAATACCTATGATATGCAGAGGGATATAGAGATTTGAAGATCATTCCAACACATTACTTTTAAGATACAGACATACTTGATCCTCTAACACTATTATAACAGAGCCTAATGGATTAACCCATTGATACAGAAGTAATTAACTTTAGGATACTCATTTCTACACATGAAGCTGTAAAAATAATACCATGCTGAAATGAAAAACAATCACAATAATTAGTGGATTGTGTAAGCAAAAACTGCTACAAAATCAGTGCTTCACTCAGAACATGGTATCTTCCTTTCCTTTTTTTCCCTTTTTCATAGTATTTGTATTTGTGGATGCCATGGTGGGATTGAACTCAGGGGATTTAGCACTGAGCTATATCCTCAGACCTTTTTATTAAAATAATAATAACAAAATAATAATAGTTGATAACTATTATTTTAATAATAACTATTATTATTTTGTTATTATTATTTTGTTTTGAGACAGAGTTTGCTAAGTTTTCCAGGTTGAGCTCAAACTTGCAATCCTCCTGGCTCTGACTTCCAGGGATTGCAGGTGTGTACTACTCCACCCAGAAAAACATGGCATCTTTCTAATAAGATCTGCTGCCAAATCAACCTGGCTTAATTAAAATTATTGTTGAATGCCTCTGGTGAAATGGTGTTATTTCAGTCCAAAACACAGCAGGGACTGAAGTGCCTTTGAAACTCAAATTCCTCCTGAACTTCATGATAGTTTGGTTTCACTATTTTCAGTTACTAAGTATTCTTCACATATCATATACTTTGGGGAACTCAATCAGTAATATCTGTGAATATTTATAGTATTTTGTCACTTCTGCACCATGTTCATACTATTCCCATCATATGAAATATCTTCCTATCACTCCTATTTCTACTTGCTGAGTTCATTCATTTGGTTGTTTTGAGACAGTGTCTCACTGTGTAATTCAGGCTGGCCTTGAACTTGCAGCAATCCTCCTGCCTCAGCCTTCTGAGTACTACAATTACAGGCATGCACCACCATGCTGGGCCTTGTTGAATTTTTCTCTCTCCTTTAAACTGGTTTTTATATTTCCTGACACAAAACACTCAAAAGTATTTATAGAAAAATGTGAACAGTTTTATTACGTAAGTATTTCAATACGTAAGTATTTAATTTACTTTCATCTTAACACAATAATTTATCATTCTTTTAACTATTGGTTTCCCTGATGTACTGTTCTTAGAGGAAAGACAGGATAAATATCTGATTGTTGTTTTGGCCCACAGACAAACAATGCATTTTTAGAGTAACATGTAAACTCATGTAAATAATAGATATATTCCAATTAATTGCAGACATCAATCTTTTCATGTTGAAATTGTTACATTTGTGACCCACAGGAGCCCGTCCCAAATCAGGAGCCAAATAGACTCTGATCACTTCTTTGTTTTAGTTTCTATCCCAGTCCTGTCATAGCTAGTTCTCTATGAATTCCTGACTCCTTTCAGAGAGAAACCATATTTAGAGCACACAATGTAGGCATATCCTTATCCTTCTAGTCTTGTCTTTTTCTCCAAAAGGCCTTTTCTAATCACTCACCAGTGACTCACACAGCCCAATTCATAATCCTTATACATTGCTCCTGTAGGGTTTATATGTTTTGTCTGTTTATTAACTCTAAGCTCCATCAGGTAGGGATCTTGTCTTTCTCATTTACTTATTTGTGTTTATTTTTAGTGCCAAAGACTAAACCCAGGACTTTTGCACTGAGCTACATCCCAGTCCTTTTTATGTTTTTTATTTTGAGACAGGGTCTTGCTAAATCACTAAGTTGCCCAGAGTGCTGGGATTACATGCATACACTCCCATGCCTGGTTTACTTATTTTTAAATCACTATATCCTTGGGCTATAGCAAAGGGGCCAGCCTTTAGTTGCTGACAATAATATCCACTGATTGCATGAATAAATGCCACCTATATTACTCTGTTTCTAATATATAATATTAATCTTCTTTTAAGTTTTTGCCAGTCTGAGTGAAAAATGTTTGAATCAAAGTTTATCTGGTTCCTAATTTTTATATACTCAAAGAAAAAGTAACTGTACCAGATTTCTGAAATTATGACCAGGGACTCTAATATAATAAAATAGTTTCTCAATAAACTACATTTAAATTTGACCATCATCACTACTGAACAAGAACATGTGTGGATATTCCAAAGCAGTAAAAAAAAAAAATCATGCAAAGTATATTCCATACCTAAAAGATACTACATTTTAATTTTTATGAAAGTTGAAATAAGCCAAGATTCCTGAACTCAAAGAGCTCATATCTGTAGAAAGGAATAAAAAGTACGCAACATAAAATGCCAAGCAATACTTAGTTACTACCAGACAACATTCTTCACCCAGCATATAGTGAAACCATTATTTAAATTTTACCAAGTCTTTACCATGAGATATCTTTATATTTTGTCATGAAATTGCTACCCAAATAAGGAAAGATAATGTGATTTTTTGTGTGTCCCAGGAATCGAACTTAGGACCTTGCACTTGCCAGGCAGGCACTGTACTGCTGAGCTATATCCCTGGCCCCAATGTGACATTTTCTTAACAAATCACATATAAATGATATGTGATTTTTTCAATTTAATTGCTGCTAAAGTGTTTGCAGAACACTTAGCATTGAACATGGGATATGACATGAGCCTCTTATGAATAGGACTAGGACAGAGGGCAGAATGACAGCACTCTAAATTCATGGAAAGAGAACAAATGAACTAATTAACAGGCACCTTTGCACATCAGTTTCTCTTAACTCTGTTAGGCCTTGTAACCACAGATAAATATGTTACTTCAGACACAAAATTTACTTAAGGTCATATAGTTCATTACTAGTTAAATTTGAACTGGTCTCCCAAATTATCAAAAGTCTTTGCAAAAAAGACATATTTCAGAGTATGTTTTATCACACTCTCAAAAAAATGTGAAATTACTTTAACTTGCTAACTTTTTTGTGCATTATGCATTACAAGAGCAATTTCCAGAGCCCTAAACTACAAAGCTGAACTGTATTAGACTGAATGAGCCCTTCAGAGATGAGATGAGGATTCATGAAATAGACAAACAGTGAGATCTTTAGATGAAAGACTTGATTCAAGTTAGTTCACAGAGTAGAAATCATGACTTCTGTGTGCTCTGTGCAGCTGCCCAAAACCTCATCTGCATGGGTGCTCAGTAATACTCTGTAGCCATTATAGGAAAGATCCTAAATAACATTTCATGTCTCTGAAGGCATTCTACACTTAAATTAACTGGTTTCTCTTTTACATTATGCTCAAAGCCACATCTGATGAATGAAAGGTTGACTTACATAGAAAAGTATCCATACTAATTTGCTAAAGAAAATAAACATATGGCCTGTAATTTTTTAAAAAGTGTTTTGCTTTTTTGTAAATCATTCCAAAACTGATGGAGTGTCAGTAGACATACATTTACTTACACTGACCTGAGCATCACTGATGCATAATGTTGATGTGATTTGCAGTCTAGTCTGGAGCAGTGACTTCCATAAAGATGTAGTACCATCAATATACCCTTTGGAATATCCAGTGACATCGCACTCCAACCTTTTAAAAAGCCATCAGTGTCTGATATAAGACTTGCTTTGTTTTACCTCTCAATAACACTTGCTGTATTGTTCTAACAGGTGAAGAAATACACATAAAGCTACTGTCAAGTAGACACTGGGAAATGCACTGATAGTTTAACCTCTGGGCTATTCACCACAAGGAGCTAAGTAAGGGTATGTCCCCTGGCTCTGGCACAGGTTATTCTGCATTCATTCTCCCCCCAGCATATACTGAAACTAATATTTAAATTTTACTAAGTGTCTGCCGTGAGATAGGTTTACATTTTGTCATGAAATTGCTAATGTTATGGACATGATCTTTTAAAAATTAACCAGTCCATGAGTAGCCATTAGTAATTAGTTCAGTCATTCTCAAACTGATGGAATGATACAATGATTATCTTTACTGTATTCTTAAACCATTAACCCCCCATAATAGTTAATGAAGCTGGGTGTGGTAGTGCACACCTGCAACCCAGCTGTTGGGAGGCTGAGGAAGAAGGATCGCAGAGAGTGTAAGGCCAGTCTGGGCCTCATAGTGAGTTCAACATCAGTCTGAACTATATATAGTGATATTCTGTCTCATGGGCCAAGGATATAACTCAGTGGCACAGCGCCTGCCTGACAAGCGCAAGGTCCTGAGTTCAATTCCAGTGCCAAAAAAATTTTAAAAAAGGAGAACTTTACTTTCCTTAAAGAGAGTTCTTGAAATATTTGTCTGATATAAAATTGTATTTGGAAGAAATTAAAGTATATTATTTTAAATAACATAATAAATTGCCTTTAC